AAAAAAAAAAAAAAAAAAAAAAAAAAAAAAAAAAAAAAAAAAAAAAAAAAAAAAAAAAAAAAAAAAAAAAAAAAAAAGCAGGGGTAGCAATCCTACTGTCTAATAAAACAGGCTTTAAACCACCAAAGATCAGAAGAGACAAAGAAGGGCATTACATAATGGTAAAAGGATCAATGCAACAAAAAGAGCTAACTATCCTAAGTACATATGCACCCAATGCAGGAGCACCCAGATACATAAAGCAAGTTCTTGATGACCTACAAAGAGACTTAGACTCCTGCACAATAATAGTGGGAGACTTTAACACTCCACTGACAGTATTAGACAAATCAATGAGACAGAAAGTCAACAAGGATATCCAGGACTTGAATGCAGATTTGGACCAAATGGACCTAATAGATTTACAGGACACTCCACCCCAAATCCACAGAATATACATTATTCTCAGCACCACATCACACTTATTCTAAAATTGACCACATAATTGGTCAGTCAGTCTTCAGCAAATGTAAATCACTCCTCAGCCAATGCAAAAGAATGGAAATCATAACAAACAAGTCTCTCAGACCACAGCATAATCAAATTAGAACTCAGGATTAAGAAAAGCACTCAAAGCCACACAATCGCATGGAAACCGAACAACTTGCTCCTGAATGACAAATGGTTATACAATGAAATGAAGGCAGAAATAAAAATGTTCTTCGAAACCAATGAGAACGAAGACACAATGTACTAGATCCCATGGGACACATTTAAAGCAATGTCTAGAGGGAAATTTACAGCAATAAATGCCCACAGGTGAAACAGGGCAAGGTCTAAAATCGACACCCTATCGTCAAAATTGAAAGAGCTAGAGGAGCAAGATCAAAAAAACTCAAAAGCAAGCAGAAGACAAGAAATAACTAAGATCAGAGCAGAACTGAAGGAGATAGAGACACAAAAAACCCTTAAAAATCAATAAATCCAGGAGCTGGTTTTTTGAAAAGATCAACAAAATAGACTGCTAGTTAGACTAATAAAAAAGAAAACAGAGACGAATCGAATAGATGCAATAAAAAACGATAAAGGGGAGATCACCACTGATTCCTCAGAAATACAAACTACCATCAGAGATTACTACAAACAACTCTATGCACATAAACCAGTAAATCTGGAAGAAATGAATAAATTCCTGGACACTTGCACACTCCCAAGACTAAACCATGAAGAAACTGAAACCCTGAATAGACCAATAACAAGGTCTGAAGTTGAGACAGCAATTAATAGCCTACCAGCCAAAAAAAGTCCAGGTCCAAACAGGTTCACAGCCGAATTCTACCAGACATACAAAGAGGAGCTGGTACCATTCCTCTTGAAACTATTCCAAATGATACAAAAAGAGGGAATCCTCCCTAACTCTTTCTATGAGACCAGTATCATCCTGATACCAAAACCCGGCAGAGACACAACTAAAAAAGAAAACTACAGGCCAATATCCATAATGAATATTGATGCAAAAGTCTTCAATAAAATATTGGCAAACCGAATCCAACAGCCCATCAAAAAGCGTATCCACCATAATCAAGTAGGCTTCATCCTGGGGATGCAAGGCTGGTTCAACATATGCAAATCTATAAACATAATCCATCACATAAACAGAAACAAAGGCAAAAACCACATGATTATCTCAATTGATGCAGAGAAGGCCTTTGACAAAATTCAACAGCACTTTATGCTAAAAACTCTCAATAAACTAGATATTGATGGAATGTATTTCAAAATAATAAAAGCTATTTATGACAAACCCACAGCCAATATACTGAACTGGCAAAAACTAGAAGCTTTCTTTTTAAAAACTAGAATTAGACAAGGATGCCCTCTCTCACCACTCTTATTCAATATATTGGAAGTCCTAGCCAGAGCAAGTAGGCAAGAAAAAGAAATAAAGGCATTCAGTTAGGAAAAGAAGAA